AAAACTGGTAGGTGCCCAAGCAGTTGCACCGTAAGCTGGTACAACCCCAAAAACATCATAACCAGGTGGGCCAAACAATGCAACACCACGTTTTGTATGTTTTTTTGGCTCCATTTTTGATTCCGTGGCAATAGCCACAGCGAATACAATGACAATCTGAGAAATTAATTCAAAATATTTGTTATAAATTATAGAAACAAACAACATCATAGTAATACAAGTTGAATATAATAGTTTTTTTATTACCGTTGCTATGGTGTTCATCTTGATAGAATGCTGTTGGAAGAACTGATACTTTACCGATGAAAACTCGCGTATATATACGAGTTCGAAATCGATCAGAGAATGGTTTGGAACCTATGGACGATGTAATAATGATATTAATTAAAACGATTAAGTCAACATAAAAGGTAAAACTCAAGAGACACGGTTAACAATTACAGGTCTTCATTGTCTAATAACTCTTGATTCCTCTGCAATACTATCACCGCGTATGAGACCACTTATAAACCTGGAAGTTAATGATTCAAGATTATTATCTTCGTATCTATGAATTCAGGAAATCATCTGGATAGTAACTTAGCTAAATATATTTCCGGCACAGTATATATATATTTTGAACATGGTTGTTGAGATTTGATTTAATCGATGAAACATTGAAACATTTCTAAAACGCATTTTGCTTGTCTTGTTATTAAATGTTTTGCTATCGTGAGAATGACTTTGACGAATATCAGATAATATTCCTCTCACTTGAGACTATACACTGTTCTTATTGTAAAAGTATTATATTTGAAGAGTGTTAGATGATTTATTAGAAGGATTGTGTGAAAGAATGAAAAAGACTCTGTTTCTGTCATATATAAAAAAAAAGTTATAATTATCATATACATAATACAAATAAAATATTTTCACAATTAATTTATTTTAAATTTACTGGATACTTAAATCTATATACATGTATATATAATATTAAATTAGTCTTAATTTAAAACTAATTGATTGAACTTTTATGTTTCAGATTCCTGTTAAATCACGAAATACTTTCTCGTTGTCAAATGATCGATATTTAGTATTAAGTATACTAGGAAGGTAAAATCCTCTATTATTCGTCAATTCTATTGGTTCGTTTGATACACTTTCGATAGCTCTTTTTCTGGCGTCAGAAAACTTTGGAGAATTTTTCTTTTGGTTGTAAACAAATTGATGGTTTTCTTCATGATTGGATTGTTTATTATGGTCGAGGAATCCACCTTTTTGATATTTTAATTCTGGTGATTTACGATTATATTCTGTAATATTAAATTATAATAAATAATTTTAAAATATATTATAATATATGCAGAAGTTTATCCTAAGGTTTCAAGATCATTTAAAAAATTGATTAATTTTTTATTAAATTTTTTAATAAATAAATTTTTTGTATGTCTCTCCCATAAATTTATTTTTATGACATTGAGATCTTGACATCGTGCATACTTTATAATCTACATTATAAATATTAATTTTCCTTACTATTCTTAGTTGATTTTTTGTAGAAGTCATCAAAATCTTTCTCATCATAATCCTTCCTAAAATATTTACTCTTCTTCGGTTTTTCTGGTTCCCTCAGACTCTCGTATCTCTCACTTCCATCTTCATCTTCATCTTCGTAATTAGAACGATGAGGTTCTGATTCGTGATCATTACTATATTTAGAAGACTGTCCATCGTCGTCGTTCTCAGACGATGAGTAATTTACAAACTTGGTTGAGATCGTCTTGTCGTCATCATCGTCGTTCTCTTTGTTATTTACCTTTGAATATTTTCCAAATTTCTCATCGTATTCTTTAAATGGAAATGATTTTGAAGGAACAAAATCACTTTCTAAGGATGATTCCTTCGACGGTTTTGCCGAATATTCTTCCTCGTCGTTTGAATTATGACCATATTCAGTTTCAACACTTTTGTATCCTACAATAATTAACAACATAAATATATAAATAAAATAATACAATATAATAATACGTACTTTCATCTTCGAAATCATCTTCATCTTCATTTTTTAATGGTGGTGGTGGATTAGTTGTAATTATATCAACATCCTCGAGTATCTCACCACCCGGTTTAGTATTCAGATTCGCGTTTTGATAAGGATTAATAATACCAGAAGGTTGCACGTTTTGAAAATGTAATTGTGGTTGTGTACGAAGAGGTTCATAGGTACGTGGTATCTTTGCAAGATCGAGGGAACCTGGATAGTGTGATACAGTAGCTCCTTTATATTGTGGAAACTCTGGAGTACTGCTAGCTGTTTGAATAGGAATCACTTGGCCCTGAAAGCTCGAAATGGACGATTGAAAAGGTGATATATTGTTTCCTTGCCCTATCGATTTATCTTTTCCACCGATGATACCGAAATTTAAGTTGGGTTGTTGGTAATTAAGGTTGTGGTTTAAAAGCACTGGCTGGGTTTCGAAAGTTCTCAAGTAATCTGGTAAATTTTCAGAATGCATAACTCGTACTACGGGCAATGTTACTTTTTTCATATCAGTGGTTTCCTTTTGTGGAAAATGTTGCGATAATTTTTGAGTTGATTCACTTTGATGATTTGTTGGATAAGTAAAAATGTATTCTGAATTTTTAGGTCCTGGATATTGAGTCCTGTATATCGGTAATTGAACCTTATTGGCAGGAACTTCTTTTTGAATTTGTGTGTCCGATGATGAACTTAACTTTTGGCTTATTAAAAATGGATTCTCATAATGCATACCAAACATATCTCCTACAATTTTCTTCTGATTATCCTCATTCAAATTTGTACTTGATTCTTGTAATTTATTGATTTTAGGTGGCGTTACAGTTCTATATTGTATCGTCGGTTTCATTATTTCGGAATTAATGAATGTATGTCCATAGTATGGTGTTGAAAAATGGCCCAGGCTTGCATAAAATTGGTTTGCTTGATAAGGCGATAAGAAAGACCCACCTGTAGCTGGATTCTGATTAATTGGTATTCGTTGATAATGTTGCGAACGTGGCCCAGAATTGTAATTATCAGATGTTACTGATTTAGTACTTTCTTCGCTGTTAAATGATTTTTGATTAGCATCTGAAGATGATGGTACATATTTAGATGATTTAAAATCTCCTGATTCTTCTGACGAATTTGGTACATTTAATGCTTTAGTTATTGTAACTATCGAAACAATTATGTAAAAAATCTGCAAAATTGATTTGAAATTATTTAACTTTAAATATTTATCGTTTTTATCTGTAGAAATGTTTTAAGTTAAAAAATAAATATTTGCATTAACCTACCAACATGGTATTTGTTAACAGGTACAAGTTGATACCAATGATCGATCTTAACTGGCAGCGAGCTGCATTCATTCCTCTTTTATATTCTGTGATTAGTGATGCGAAGAAACAGAATGGGTTACTCCATTTCTAAATTAAACAAAAAGTGTTGATAAAAAAAATAAAAAGCGAAGTAAATTTCTTCTTTCTTCTTCTCTGGTCCATGACGTCAATTGAACTGCTCGATTTTATTGTATTGTTTTATCCTTTACTCTCCCTGATCAACTTTTTCGTATTATATTTTTATTCGTATTTTTCTTTAGACAATACTGGAGTAGTATTGTGAGAAAGAAATGTTTATAAAAAGATTATTCTTATATTAATAATTAATACTTCAAATATATTTCTTAAATTTTTTTTTCACCTTCACCTTCACCCAATACATTTCCTACAGCATCGTAGGGAAGTAATAAATCATAGACATTACATTATAGTTCCTTCACTGCCGCAGGAAGCGGATTTAATGCCTCGATGCACGTCAAATGGGACACGCTTTAATAATTTTATTACCTTCATATAATGTACATCAAATCGGAAAATGTTCCTAAGAAGGAAATAAATCATTATAAATTTCTTATTTTCTATATATTAATATTATTATTTCGATGTAACTGTTATTCGGAATAAATTTTCTAGACAACTTAATTTAATATTCAAAAGTAACTTTCATTTTATTAATATACACATTTATTTGGTTATCCGTCAACTCTATGCTTGATTAGAAAAATATTTATGTTAGGTTTATAATTTGTATGCATGAAGAAGTCCTGATAAAAATTGTACCATGAAAATGTCACGATCAACGAGACTGGAATCTGAGTTATCTGTTTTATGAGCTCTTCATCAACTTCCTCATGATTGCGTACATTACTTGAATGTATAGGTATTATAATTTAGGTTGCTCAGAAAGATTCAGCTGACTTTATAAACTATTTTATTTGTAATAAATATATTCATCAACACGAGCCTTCCGTGCAAATCCAATTGATGTATGCAAATATGTTGTTTACATATAGAAAAATATCGCTAAATCAATTTCTTGAATATGATCGCAGATTAGGAAATTGACGTTAACTTGTAACTATTACGAAACATATTTTGCGGTTAAGAAAATCTCACAGATACAAACCAGAAAATTAGTTTTCTTTCAATGCGGAACGGCGGGTAGGAAAATGATTTGTTAACACACACTAACACACACACACCCAAATAGTAAATAATATATTTTTTTCTATATAAATTATGTGAAATTTAATCATTTTTACTTGTCTTACATTAATATTTACAATAACGATATTATCGTTTTTTTTTTATACGTATATTCCTATAATTAAAGAATTGCTCATAAATAAGCACGAAGATATTTTGATTGAGAAATTATGAACTGTGTGCGTGTCACTAGAAAAAAAAAAAAAGAAAAAAAATCCCGATCGAGGTTTAATTTTGATTATTCCCTGAATCCATTTTATGTTATAATAATTTATAAAAAAAGATATTAACTGTTTTATTATACAGATAACATATTTTAACTACTTAATTCTAGGAATATTATTTGTACACGAGTACAAGCCGTTGCAATAGTCGTTGTCGTAATAAATATGACATCGTAATTACAGGAATCGACTAATTTGATTTCTCACCTAGTAAATTTTTCATTAAATTTACGCGGCACCATTAGAATCAACGTTACTTGACCTAGGCAACATACGCGAAGAAATATCGTCAGAATTTTTGTCCAAATAGCTTCTCAAAGTATCGTTGTAAAATTGTTCCTGTAACCTTCGTTTCTCGTCTTCAAAATATTGACGTAATTGATCCCTATTACGAAAATAATTAGGTTTATTGCCAGGTGGCAATTGTTTGTTCTTCATCAACAAAGCAAGAAGATTATGCATTCTAGGATGATTAACATCATATTTGTTACTTTCAGTGCTGCTACTCGATGATCTAAGTTCTTTAAGGAACTTATTGATGTCATCAGGAGTTGGTGCTGATGTTGTAAATGTTGGATAATCATCGGTCGATGAGGGTTTCCTAAAATCGGAATAACTAGGACGATTTACGCGTACTCCATCAATGTTACTAGCTGATCCTTCCGGACCAATCGGTTTTGAGTTTAGTGCATTTGGTTTGCTATGTCTAGGACCTTCGAAGTGACTATGACTATGACTATGGTGATTAAATCTCGGTAGGGATGAGCCTGGTCTCTTCTTGCTAGGTTTTTCATGAAAATGACTTGTCGGATGGAACGAATTTGGTTTCGGGGGTGTTAAAAAATCTCTCAAATGTTTTGTATTTGATGAGTACGGTCGTTTACGATTATGTTTGTGTCGGTGTCCATGACGTGTGTGTGTGGGTTCTGTTGGCTGTGTTTTTAGCAACTCTTCTAAAGTTGCTAACAATGGGTCTGGTTTGTTCTGATCGTTTCCAGGACTCGCTAATTTGCTCGCTTCGGTCGTTCGGATTTTATTCTCGCTCTGATAAGCTTCAAGTATTTCTTTATTCTGTCTTGTAGTATCTGGCAATGTTGCTTTCAATCTCATCAATTCATTTTTCAATGCTGCGATATCGTTCGGTTCGACGTGAGTTTGATTATTCGTCGATTGAACTTTTCTATCGTTGTTCCATTTTTGTGAATTATAAATTGTTCTCAATGATTCCTTAAACATTTCCTCAGCATATTTTTCTAAATCAGTCGTTAATTTGGGCTTTGTTAATAGTTCACTTTGGGCTGCGAATGTTGGTTTATAAAAATTTCCTTCTGGCATCATTGGGACCAAGTTCAAGGGCTGCTGAAGTGAATCGTGATTTTGCAGTTTACTGTTGAGAACATTTTGATTTTTAATTACGTCAGTGTTAGGAACAAAATTGATCGGATTAAATATTGGTTTTTCTTGATTTTGTGATGTCTTCATGTCAATCGTTGAAGTACTTGGGTGATTTGATTTTGTTCCAATTTCTGCTACAGATTCTATGTAACTTGGTGAAGGTGTTATCAATGATATCGGTGTTGAAGTTACAATTGGTATTGGTGTTGTTATAATAGGATAATGAAGAGTTTGAAGAGGATGTACTATACTAGTGTCAACTGGACTTGGTCTAATATTTGGGTTCATAATTTCAACATTTTTAGCCCCAACTTTTGGAAGATGTGCAAAATTGTTTTCCTGTGGTGCATTGACCACATTAACGCTACTTATCGTTTGACTGCCAACCGTATCGGTGGTTTGATAAGGATAATTTGTGTATTTATTATTTCTTATAGCTTGACCTTGCTGCAATTGCAATTGTAATTGGTGTAAAACGTTTTGATACTGCGCATTTTGTTCTTGTAATCGTGGTAAAAGGAAATTCATATTATGAACGTTTTGGGATGCTTGTTGGTTCAGACTTGTGTCATCTAGTGGAGGAACTGGATGATAAAAAGGTACTAAGCTTGCAGTTTGTAAGTAAGTCTTTGTTTTCGACATGTTATTGTCGTCTTTTACGACTCGATATGAATTATCTTGTGATATTGGTCTAAAATTAATTTGGGATGCATAATTATTATCGTTGGATTGCACTTGTGAATTTTGTCCAACCGAATAACTTGCGGAAGCTAAAATATTTCCACCCGAGGCGGGAATAAAAGTCTTTTTGCTTTGCGAATCTGCCGTGATGAGATTAACTCTCGTTACCGGTGTAGATTGAGGAGATGGTGTTGTAGCGGTATGTATAGGATAATTAGGAATTTGAAAGCTGCCTTGAGAGATAACATTTTGGCCTTGAAGTCCATGGGGATTAACTTGTATGTTATATTCAGGATTGGTCTGTGCCGGTGCTTGAAGAAGATTAGGTAAGGTTTGAATGGTCGATTGTGGAACAAACAAATGTGAAATCCCTTGTTGTTGCATTTGATTCACTGTGATTTGTTGTAAATTAGAAGTAGGACTGGTAGTAACAAAGGCGGGTCGTGGAGTAACGTTATTTGGTAGGTTTTGAACACGTACATTTTGCAAAGTTGGATTTAGTCTAGTCGTGACAGCGAATATTGGAGTTATAGTACTGGAAACATACTGAGCATTCGAATTTGATGTAATTTTGTTAGGAAAATTTGTTTGTTGTGGAACGAGCACAGTATGCGCAGGATTTTGGAAACTATTTTGACCAACGATGATATCCGGTATTGCCGTAGGTATTCCAACGTTCTGTATATTTGGTAAATTCGTTAAAGTCCTTGGCACGTTAGATGCTGTTACTATGTTCTGACCAACGGTTGATTGATGCGAACCAAGAAGCGGTGTATTAGCTGTGCTAACTGTACCAATTGGTGTAGGTGTTACAAGGTTTTGATAAACCACATTAGAAACGTCGAATCCTTGACTGTTACCAAGTGCAGTAGCATGATCAAAGTTTGCTATTGACATAAGACCAACTGGTATTACGAGATTTGATTTTTCCGTTGGACTAATCTCAATACCATTTGAATGAGAAATTTCAATATTCGGTCCTAACTGTCTCCATCCGCTATTTGACGTAGATTTCACATTCTGCTGTTTTTGCAATTTTTGATGTCTCATTTGTGATGCACGCATTTTAGTTTCTTGAACTCTTTCCTCGGTACTATCATCCTCGTAACGATTCCTATCATCATCGATCCAAGCCGTTGATTGTCCACGTTGTCGATGGGGTTTCGATCTTGTTAAGCTAGGTCGTTTCCTGTAACTTTCGGTCTCCATACTATCCTCTGTAACCGTTCGATGTTCCTTCGGTAATCTTCTGGATGATTCTACGTTGTATGGTCGTCTTTTACTTTTATTAACTCTCCTAGGTTTCTCCATATAATCCATATAATCTAAACTATCATTTGAATCATCATTAGAATCATCTCGATCGTAACTACGTCCTTTTGCTTCCTGACGATATCTATTATAAATATTCGATGATTCACCAACAATCGCATCGGAATCTTTAAAATGATTATCAGTTTTAACAGGAGTCTGAGAATTACTCGATGATTGTCTATCAAAATTTAATTCAATCTTATAATGGTTGGGATCAGCAACCACTACAGGTTTCATGAATTTATGCCGATTTTTAGATGATGAACTATCATAATAATTTCCACTCTTTCTACTAGAATCATCGTCCTCGTAGTTCGTCCTTGATGAGGTCGATGTCTCAATTGTTTTTTGCCTGGTCGTAGTACTCTGCCCATGACCGTTATAGTTCACGGTATTCCGCTGATGGTAATTACTCGTTACTTTCTCTGGTTTTTGAATCGTTCGTTTCTCATCCTTCGTAGCACCGTAAGAATGATAGCGATCATAAACGTTTTCTTCAGTCTTAGCACTTTGTTCATTCATGGTACTATAACTCGTCGCATAACTATTAATTCTCTTTCTTCGATCCCTTTTACTTTCGTTACTCGACGAATTGTCAGTCTCGGTGTCATCGGATTCACTTAAATCATCTATGTATTCGTAAAAATCATTGTAATTAGCTATTGCTGGAGTATCATTGTGAACTTTTAATAATTCAAAGGTATTTTGATCGTCTTGAAATTCAAATGATCTACGATTCGTACCTGAATGAGGTAAATCTAGAAAGATTCTTGCTTCCGGCGAATGAACTAAATCATTTTCAAGATTTTCCTTGTCTTTCTGAATATTGCTACTAACATTGATTATAAATTCTGCTGGTGTTGATGAATTTTCTTGATCGTTGTACACGTTTCTCGGATTCAATGTAGTAGCAGTGACAAATTCAATTTGTTGTTGATAACTTTGTGTAATAGTGGGTGGTGTCATCGGTATAAAACCGTTTGAGTTTTCATAATTGATCGAAGTATCGATCAGTGGTGGGACTGTTTTAACAAATGTCCGAATATTTTCAGAAGCTGTTGCAAGCTGATCGAAAATTGTTTCATCTTGAGATTCCGCGTTGTCAGATCCTCTTGCATTTGGCCAACACAGGAACAATACAATGATCTGTTTAGAAACAAAAATTTTTGTAATTAAAATTAAACGATAACAATGTTAACAAATGTACTGCAATTAATTATAAGAAATATCCAATAACAAATAAAATAATTTTTTTTATATAATAATCAACAATTAAAGATAAACAATGACAATTGAATGCAGTATTTGAATTCAAAATTAAAGAATGAGAAAAAAGGATCATTTAACCTTTGCGTAGGAGTAAAATGATGTAACCTTTCGTTGCATGAATGAACGTGAATAAAAATTCACAATTAAAATAAAAAAAAATGAAACTAAAGAAGAAAGTACGTTAGAATAATAATTCAATGGAACGATGATATCTTATATACGAGAATTAGTGGAAAGTCCAAGGTTTTGACCCAGAAAAATAAAAGAAGACTCTAAAAGTAAAAATGTACAAAAGCAGAGTGCGTGTTATATGTATTCAAGTACTGGATGTGCACAGGAGCAAATCTTTCTTTAGACTTTCCTACCAATTTACGAACATAAGAATTCATTTCGCAAAGGTAATGTTCATTTCTTACAAATTAGATTACCGAGAGAAAAAAAAATAGAAATATACGTGTAACAACTTTCTACGTAGTACACCTAGCATGATTTCCGAAAGCGTGGAATATATGTATATGTCTCGAAATAATATTTTCTCAAATTTATCTACATTTCTTTCTATTTTTTTGCTTATTTTTTATGTTTTTTTTTTTCATTTTTATTACATTTTTCCAAGAAATCGTCACTTCGATATATAATTACAAGCCGTTTTCACTCGCGTTTACGTATTTTATAAACGAATACAAGTCTTATTTCAATTAACAATTATTTTTAGAGAGATGAATGAAATTACTTCAGTGGTATGTTCATTAATCTTTAGAAAGTCAATTATCAACGTTCTCTGTGTCATTTCAATTCCAAATAATATCTTATTTATTTGATAAAACTTTTTCCTGGAAATAATTTTCAAATAAAATTAAATATTAAAAATAATATTATTTCTATTTAATAATACTTTATTTGAATTTAATCTTATCAGAAATAACCAATGAGATAATCACGTGAATACAATGGACTTTTTGAAAACAAGAAAATATAAAAAAATTATTTACTTACGTAATATAAAAACATTTCCCTAAGATCTTCCTTGGTAGCTTCTTTCCATTAAAAAGATGATATCAAACGAAAACTTGACAAATTGTGGCTCTTATCACAAAATAATCCGAATACAAAAATCGATGTTAACTTGTCCGAAAATAATGAAACTATTGGACACACGAGAAAAATAAGAAAGACCCTTCGAGGTAAAGCTCCACACGAGAACTGAGCAACATAGTAGATATGCGATTTTCTTTATACACTCTGGTAACCAAGTGAAAAATATCGTTCTAAATATTATCCTACGTAGAAGCATCGTACACAGAGAAGGATACTTTCATTCGCGACACGCGACCGTGCAAAGGAAAAATGTTGTCCGATTCCTATTATATTATACAGGATACTACAACTAAACATTTATGGTATCTTTATAAAATAAAAAATAAAACCATATATTATAATAGTACGGAAATAAGATCGAAAATAGGTGGTCTTTGATACCGAGACGTTATTAACCGAACAAGTTGAAAAGAAATCTCATATATGTTTCTTGCGGAAATACAAAAAGTATGCAATTTTTATATTAATTACAAACGAGGAAAATTTCTTTTTTTTTTTTACTTTTTCTTTTTTTCGTACCTAAATTTCATAGTATTCTATTAAAATGTTTCGTTATGTTAAATATAATTATCGAAGATATTTCTAAATGTGTAAAATAAAATATAAATGTGGAAAGAAAATTTAGTGGCAGTTAAATGGTCAATATTTTTTCGACTAATAGTTTTATGCGCTCTAAAACACACGCATTATGCTCGATGTACGCGTTCCTCACGATACAACACGTTTTACAAGATGGAAAGGATTTTTAATAGTTTTTAGTGTAGTTATAGATACGGTAGTACTCTCATCTCGTTTGTGTGAAACTTGCTCACACGTGCATTTACTTTTCCGATTTTGATACAACATCTACCTGCCTAATTGCTTTTAGTTAATTTGTTCTTCTTTAGATTGCAAAAGATATCATCGGTAGCTCGCTGCTCACTTGCTATTGTGAAAACATGGAATTAAAGATCGACCAATCACTTTGGACCATTTCTTCTTCTTTCTTTTTATTTATTTCTTTCTTTTACTTCTCGTCGAACAATTAATGATAATTAGTTGACTCTTTGATAGACGATAAAAACGCAGTTAAGAATAATTTAATTTATCAAGATTCTTAATTATCCATCCACGCACTATTTTTATTGAATAATTTTAAACACAATTATAAGATAAACCAAATACGGTTATAGTCTGTTATCTTTATTATGTTTATGATTAATTAGAAATTTTACAAATATTTATAAAAATTATTTTCCTACAATGTTTATGAATACGCAATTAAGAATAACAAAATATTGGAAATTTAATAATAAAATATTCACCTTAATTTTATTAATTATTTTTTCATTATTTCATTTATTATTAATTCAATTAAAAGGATTTTAAATTATAATCATTTTTACGAATATATTTTTAATTAACACCAAATATGGTTTCCTAATGATATTTTAATATAATATTTACTATAATCTCTCAATCATGTCCCTTTCATACGCATGCAATTATTAACGTTAAGTGAATAGAAAGATTATAAGAGAGGTGTGACTTTCACGAATAAAAAAATGTACTTTCCTTATAACAAGATAATAATTCTGAACATACACAAAGTCTTATCTTATAAATGAAACCATCATCATCATCATCATCATCATCATCATCATCATAAATACAAGCTAAGTTTTACAAGGTACCTTTTCGAAGTGACGCTGTTTAGTGTATAACATATTCTTCTTTTTCTATATTGAAAGTGTCTTCAAGGAAAAGAGAATGTTACTTCGATTAGATAATGTAAATTCGTCGAACAAATGTTCGTGGTTTCGTAAATCAATAAACAGGTACATCAAATATTTAAGTATTGGCCTGTATTCGTCATTTGGTTTGATTATAGGAGACGTTGATTGTTAGATTAACTATCAATAAATTGCATACATATACATATAAATGTATATATAGTAATATGTAGATTTTTTTTCATACGCGAATATAGGCCATATTGCACAATCCCGTTATTAAATACTAAATCAAAGTAAAATCTAATAACGAACGATATATTCCATAATGTTTTATGCACCAACACGGAAATTATTATATTCCGTTAAATCATATCTCTATCAATAGTTCTTTTCAAAAATATGATAATAAGAACTATGACAGGATAATTATTTTGTTAAGACACAATTTTTAACTTTTAACATTATAAGTCGTAAATTTCTGATCATCTATTATTTGTACGCTTTTAGTTTTTGGTCTTACGTTGGTACGATCACCGAATTTACCAATTGGACGAGTTTCTTCTCCAGTTAAAAATACATTTTCTTCGTAATTATTCGGACCAGAGTAAGAATCTGATATAAAAGTTGTCGGGGATGAAGATTCGATGTTCTCGTTTTGTGTTTGTCGTGCTAACTGTAATAAACGATTACCAGCTTGTATGGTACGTTGTGTTTGACTAAATTGTTCAATACCTAATTCGTAATTAGTTGGTTGAGCTAATTCCTTTATACTGTTAGCGTATTGTATTAAATATTCTTGAAGAAGTGCTTTCAAATTAATATTGGATGTAGTTTTAGGTTGAACTGGTGGTACACCATCTACTCTGAGGATGATGACAGGTACTAATGAGTTTCCAGCCTGCACGAAAGTTGGTCGGACGTTTAATATTGATGATGGGTCTTTGATGTATTGGGATATCGATGGATTATAGCTCAAAAGATCAGAATATTGAAGATTGTTATAATCGTTGAGATTCTTGTTACTTTGTTGTTTCCCTTTATTTCCCGTATCTTGATTAGCTGTAAAGATTTTTTTCAAATAATTTTGAAGTCTTGGCTTATATCGTGCTAAAACGTGAGCTGTCAACTCACCTGGTTTTAGTTTTAAGGTAGATTCCGTAGAATCGACGTATTCAGCGTTCGGTCCATTTACCATGTATCTTGAAACTGGTCGTGCTGTGGTTGTATAACTCGATGATAAATTATTACGATCCTGTTTCTTTTTAGTCGAAAATATTGGCCTTCTGGTAGTCGAAAAAGATGTTGTGCTTACAAATGAGGGTGCTGTCGATGTTATATATTCCATTTTTGCTTTTTGCGCAAGTAATACGTTCGGTCTTTGGCTAACTAAATTTTGATAACCAATTCTATATGCCTGTTGATGTGACAAATTCGAAGACAATGATTCAGATGATACGAATTGACTCTGTTGTGATGATATTTCTGGTGCTATTGGAAATTGTATTGGACCTTGTGCACGAACACTGTATTCTGTTGATGGATCTGTCTCGACATAAGTTTCATGAATTTTGGAAATTTGTGGACTGGCAGTTGAATCTTCGGTGTAAGTTTCGACGTAAGTTGCTGGCGGTTCATGAGAAATTCGACCATCTGGATACTTCCAGAAAATTTTATTCTGGTATCGTACACCATTTTCAATCGTATATCTTGGAAGATTTGCTTGAGTAGTAGGATTTTGAACGTATTCGTAATTTGTTTGTGGACTCGGTGTTGTAAATATTGCTCGATCGTTTTGTCGTTGTTCAACATAACTGTGATAATGATTTCTATCTTTACTAAAATCTGGAATATTAGAAACCAAAGGTTCATGAGATGCTACTCTGAAATGTTGTCCTTGTCCATCGTAGTACTGCTGATTTGGATTTAAAATGTATCGATAATTTTGTGAGTTAGTTTCCAATGAATTTGGAGTTGTTGAAACTGTTTGACTTTGTCTTGGATCATTGTAAGTCTGAGTATGAACGTTGTTATAATTAACAGCTTGATTTCTATCCTGGGATTGACTAAGATAAGGTAATATTCGAAAATGATTTTGTTTTAATCCAAAATGATTAGGATTTGCTTGTCCAATTGATCGATGATCAGTATAGTCTACTTTAAATATTTGCGAATCATCGATTTGTGAAGTAGCTTTAGCAGGTATCGATGGTTGAAATACATTTTGACCTCGTTCAACATATGTTTGGACAGTTGGACGAAATATATTTCCACTTTGTCCATTAATATCTGTATTAATGTTGGTGGTTCCTTGATAAGAGGGAATATTCAAATTTGATAGCAAATAACTAGAGGACTTTAAATCGAAATGATTTTGTGGTCGTTGGGTAGTTGATGATATAGAACTTGGAGTGGAGGATGGTTGCAATCTTCCATTTTTTGTTCGATAATTTGTATCATACGTATCGTAATAATTTGAAGCCTTTTGAAGTTTCGTACTGGGTACATAATTTATTTGAGATGTTCGTAAATTTAAAAACGCATTATTCTCGTTTTGATTTGAATTATTTGGGACATATTTTTCGATTATTGTTCTCGGTAGAAATGGACTTATCGATTCCTCAATGCTAACTGTTGTTCCTGTTTTACCAGCAGGAAAATAATAATTGGTCTTTCCCGAAAACAATGAATTTTTTTCAAATCCATAACCCAGTCCATTGTCGACAGTTCGTTTAGATTTTTCTTCGCCAGTCTTGTTAGCGTCTATAGTATCGTTATTAAAATCTAAAAGTATCAACGGTGGTAAAATTGGAAATTCTTCCTCGGGTGGATCATCAGGATCATCGTTCAAACGATCTTCAACTTTTTCCTCCCTCCCATGAACAATTTTTGGAACAAACAACGAATCGTTCCCTTTTCTCTCGTCCAATTTATGTTGGCTTTCTTCCAAATTCTTTTTCGCACAATCCGATAAGATAACCGATCCAAGAAGAAGGCAAGAAAGAACCTGGAAAAGAAAAAATAAGAAAAAGAAGAAAAAATTAATATTAAAGCACGATTAATAATTCGTGAGATCGAGGAATTCTGGTTGAACGAACTAACTTTCCTATTTTAAAAAGAACCGTTTCTCATCTGGAAAAGGAGAAAAGTATATAACGGGTGTCTCGTTCTTAATAATCTTCCCAAATATGGTTTGGATCCTGTTATGAAAAAATATTTCCTGTAAATGTTTACAAAAGAAAAAAGAGGAAAATCTTATTTGTTCTACAGCTTACGTTTCATTGTGAGTTCTTTGCAGAAACTATAAAAATTATAACAATATTTTTAAATAAATATGTATATTTTTAATCTAAGGAGAGTTGTAAAATAGATCAAAAAGAATTCTCACCGAAACAACAACAATCAATTTTTAAATTGCTCATAATTTTTTTTAATTTATAATTATTATTTTTCCAGTTTTATTTATATAATATAAGTTGTAAAAACTATTTCGTAAAATTAATATAAATGCTATTTATATTTCAAAAGAGTACCCTTTGTAATGGATGAATATTAAAGTTCTTTCATTTCTTTCCAGTTTAAATTTAAAAATAAAAAAGAGTCTATTTTTAAGAAGCAGACGGTGCAAAAGTCATTACTGTCAGTTATATCAGCCCATTATTTTTACTTTTAAGTATCTCAATTCTTATTAAAACGTCACGCTTTTAACGTAGCGCCGATGGTCATCGATCTCCACAAGATATTCTGCCAATGGTAATCTTACTTTCACCGGACTTTACTACTTTAATACGTAAGCGTTTTGTAGAAGAGACTCTTCCAGATTTATATAAATACAATATATACTTTCGGTTACTTTATAATCGCGCAAATGTTTGGTATAAATCATTTAAAGATTAAACGTGAGATTATATACTCTTAAGATACGCGTACTGCGGCAATGATACTACTCGTATGGCCTTGAAAAGAAAGGACGTGAACTTCATCCGGATCCTGCTCAGGGTCATCGTTCAGGTCAACTCGTGAAGAGAACAGGTTTCATACGTTACATTCGCGATTTTCACTACTTTCTTTCTTGACCGCGTGTAAACCGGTATATAAACGATAAGTATTCAAAATTCTGGTTTATAATTATTAATTTGTAAACGATATTTAATAAATAACAAAAATTTTTAAATATAATTATTATTTTCTAATTAAATATTAAACATTAATGCGAATTGCATATACTTTTTTAATCGATATAATATCATGAACTATATTAAAAAGATTATTAATTTTATAATAATAATAATAATAATAATAATAATAATAATAATAATAATAATAATAATAATAATAATAATAAAATTTCAATGTTAAATTGAAACTAATTCGAAGAGATTATATTAAATTAATATACAAATTGAGAAATAAAAGTGGATAATTTCTAATGTAAATAGTAAATTTCTACGTGTTTAACGTTTGTGTAAGAGAAAGGATAGATAGAATTGCAAATATCGAATGTGTGTATAAACGTGTAACGAATTGACACCTGGGCTCTTTTAATTTTACATTCGATCGACGAATGAAACATTCGTTAAGAGAGTTTCTCCAACTTCCTTCTCTCGTGATATTACACAGTTACCTAACAAAACGTATCGTCGAATTTGTGTCAAAGAATCCTCGTTCTATTCTCAAGGACTTTCACTGACTTACTCAAGATTTACTATATTTCTGGATGTTATCTTTAAAACGAACTAATACGTATCAGGAACTATAAAAAAAATGAGATACACTTTCACTATAATGACCATCCTATTGATTGTGCTACTAAAATGCAAAAATACGAAAATTTCTATAAAATTTTTGTCATTTCCATATTGTGTGTTTTAGAGAACGTGTTATTATTTTATTAATTACAACATTGGAAATAGATAAAGGAGCTTACAAATAAATATGAAATAAATTGTATAAACCTATTGAATGTGTTTGTGTGTGAATGTATTATTATTTTACAAAATACATCATTGGAAATAAATAAATGAACTTACTAATAAATATGAAATAAATTTATATAAACCACAATTGACACTCCGAATGAATTAATATAAATTATTTAGAAAATCGGATACAAAATGTAAGAATGTTAATCGAATGATATTATTGGTATAAACTTGAATGAGATATGTTTAGTATTTGATTCTGTTAATGATTCGTTTAAATATATATGAATGAAAATTCTATACAACACATAAATGGAAAATAATTAATAAAACATGTGTAAAAATTATATTTTACAAACACACATGTCACACGTGTGATATATAAATGTACACACACACACACTTGACGTGACAGATCATAACAAAGATACATTTAAAGTATCGAATGAAAACACTTATCGAATGAAAACACTTAATAGAATGTTCATTGAAGTAGTTATTCCATAAGAAAAGCGTAGAAAATGAATGAAAAAGTTGTATGGTACTTACGTGTATGTTAGCTAGCTTCATGATGATCAAACTTCAACCTGACTCGGTGGACTTGACGTGTGTGTTTGTTTGATACTGATGAAGCGGAGGCTACAGCATCCCACCTTATATGCCCTCGCTTCGTGAGCGAGGAGGACACCATCATTATAGTTTCACCTCGGCAAAGACGACGGAGCTATTCACGTTCGATACATGCGAGAGACACCTGCCAGTAGCGTATCTATTATATCAAACAGATTACAATTGTTTTAGATATTTCAAATATTTAAAATATTATTATTAGTAATTACTTTTGAACTACGATTACATAAATTTAAATATTTTAATATTATTAGTAATAATTACTTTTGAGCTATGATTAGATAAATTTAAATATTTTTATTTAAAATATATATATATATATATATATACGTTTTACATAAGGTTATAATGAGTAGGCTATTATTTGGTACTTTGTTAAATTGATTTTTAATATTTTAGATATTTTAATATTATAGTCATTAAAAATATTTTTCTATTATACAATTTGAATTAATAGGGTATCCATTATGAGGATATAAATTTTTATATATTGTAGTATAGAAAAAGATAGAGGAACTTTGTATGAAACCTTAGTTAGTATAACTATATCTCTATCACCTTTTCTTATCTCAAGTTCAAAGTGCATAAAAAAAATATTATAAAAAAAGGAAGTTTATAGGATTATCAAAAAGGCAACAATTATTTGAAAAAAAAAAATTTTAAGAAATATTATTTAAAAATGATTAATGAAATATTAATAATTCGATTGTTTTACTTATATTTTTCTAATACATCGAAGCAAACTTAAATGAAATATTTTTACAAGAAATTAGAACGAAATGTTTGAATATTTAAAGAAAAATATATCAAATACAAACTAAAAAATATAATTTTTATAGTATATTTAAAATATTACAAAGAGATATGTCAATCATACTTTTATATATTTATTATCATTATTGAATATTGAACAAAAGCAGAAGATAGAAAAGAAATTGGTATAGTAACGACTCATCTTTACAGTATCCGCTTTCTCGTTGAAACTTGCTATCCTTGTATAATCCACAATCGCATAAATATATATTATATTAAATTTGCATGTACATAAATATAATATATTATCGGTACTTTCCTGTTACCAAATTTGATAAATCCCCAATAATCGATTAAATTTGTCGATTTTCTATTTATTACTACGACAATTTCTTTCATTATTTTTAACGTTATTTCAATGCGATTAATTAATTTCTATCAATGATCATCCTTTCGAACGTTCCACTTTCAACAATTTCGTAAACAAATCTTATTCAAAATTCATTAATATTTTAATTATGCAAAAATTAATGAGATTACGTTTTTGTATTTTTCATTACCCGTTACTATGTCTTGTTATTTTTTTCGTTTTACATTAAAATGTGAATGAAATCAATAAAAATTTTGATATTTAAGATAGCATCGAGAGAAATAAAAATGTCATACAATTCGTTAATATTTCGTTAACATCTAATAATTATGCTATTTAAAAAAATCTGTCTTGTTATATGGTAATATTTAAATTAAATTGATGTATTATAATGAATCTTAAGTGTCTACTAAATTGTAAGTGTTTTCGATTATCAATCCATTACACGCGAGTTCATCATTTGTATATACATAAATTTATGTTGATATTTTAAATAGATATTATATTGCTATAAATTATTTAATCTAATAGCAATAAATAGTATATCATAAATAACAAGTCTCAAATAAATATATTAACAAAGTAGATAAATTAATAATATTTTGAAATTTAAAAATAATTTCACTTGTATTATCGATCTTTAAATTAATATTTGTTAACGTATCGTATTTATTTATCAGGTTAGTAGGATTAATTTAAATAAATCAATAAATCTAAAATTATTTAAATAAAAATAATCAACACGAGAATAAGTTTTCTTGTATTTTATTTAAAAAGGAAAAAAAACAGAACAACGCGTTTCGTTTGTTCAAACAAAACGCGCATATGTATATAAAACAAGTAAGTAAAGTGAATACAAAAATTAAACGTAAGTATTGTGATTTTCGATGAGGGACTAGATAAGATGTTTCTTCTTTTTATTTCGAAACTAAATAGCACCTTTTAAAAGATGATTCGTTTCGTTTGTCGTAATTAACGGTAAAATAAGTCATTAGATTTTAAACGAACATTTTGTTAAACATCAAAATCCGATGTATTGACGTTCGTTAGTCGTTTATATATGTAAATATACGTGTGTGTGTGTGTATCTTTCTATGGTAGTATACTTCTTACGAACATTATTGCGTCTTACGTTTCTTGTATTGCACATAATTATTTTTCGAAGGTAGAAATCCGCTTTCCAAGTGCAACGGCCTCTCTCGATATCTGCGATTTCACGTGAAAAAAAAAAGAAAAGAAATATAATATTAATTAAATTGAATTAATCTTTTTTTCTTATTCTTCCCCCTTATCTAAAGTATTCGGAGAAATTTATATTTATATGGCGAAAGAGAATATAATTATTAATAATATTATCATGTAAGATTACCTCCCTGAATCCTGTGCAGCTATCAAATTACTTGGAACATACGTATCCAGTAAAGTTCGTGGCTCTGAATTAACAATATGTTCTTTAACTCGAGACGATTCTTCGGAATTCGAAGAAACTTGTATCAAGTGAGTAACGTCTGGTTTAAAATTCTGATTTGATATTTGCGGTGGTATAAAATTTGAATTTGGTTCATTCGGTACCTAAAACACAAAATTATTTCATTACTTTAATATGTATATATATATATATAGTATATGAATTTCCTAAAACTTAAATTTTTTTAATTAAAAAGTATTGTTATTATTATTTATACACAGTTAAAATCATATTCTAATTAACGCAACGAATATTTAAAAAAAATATATTATGATAATAAAATTGCGTAATGAAAAAAAAAGTTAAAGAAATATATTACGCAGTCGCGTGACATTCTTAACATGTTACAAGATTTTATAGAAAGTAAAAGCTATTTTGTTTGATTTTAGCAGCTTTAAAATTCCAAAAATAAAAATTGCACACTTAATGTCCTTTATTTAATTAAAAAAAGATCTTTCATTCCCAAACTGATCTTGATGTCACACATCCGACCTAAAACTTTCTATAAATCACGTTATATAACAAAAATACTGTTCCATTCAGGCTTTCTCCATTTAATCACTCTTATTCCTACAAGATTAATTTTATCATTCTATTAGGGAATATCTATCGAAACTATTTATTACAGTATTGCCAAAGTTCTATTTAACGAACCTTGACGTAATTTTGAGAAACGCTTTGACTTTCCTCATCTTCACGCAAGATTTGCTTTGGTAGTTGTTCCGTAACTGAAGAAATATATGATTGCTCGGTTTGACCATTGTATTGATTAACTTGGCCATGAAGTGAGTTATCTTGAACATAAACTGGTGATTTTACATAAAGATCTGCCTGAAGGGGTGTCGTTTGTGTATAAAGGGCATTCCCTTGATTGCTTATCACTGTTGAAACATGTTGTTGTTGTTGTTGTTGTTGTTGTTGTTGGTAATGTTGTTGTTGTTGTTGGTAATGTTGTTGTTGTTGTTGATGTTGCAGTCTATGCTGTTTGGGCTGAGTAATGTAAGCTTGCGTGTATAATAATTGATTTCCTTGTGAATACGACTGCTCTGGCTGTTCGTAGACTTGAGGTGAGATTGGTTTCTTCGAAGTTAGCGATGCATATATTGAACCTTTTGAAAACTATAATTCAATGGTATTACTTACATTTACTGTTAATAATTTAAAAAGAAAAAGAAAATTTTTAGTGTGTTTTTTTGTCAGACGGTGTATTATATTGGCTAAGAAGTAATCTCGAGTTTTTTAAAAATAATTATTTCAATAAATAAAATGATATTCATTATTAAAAATTTGGAGCAATTGTTAACGAATGGTCGAGTGAGTTAAATAAATGTTTAGCCTATGATGGTAACTAATAATAATAAGCTACAGAATTATCTTTGTATGTGAACGGATTGAAAACAATTGTGCTCACATAGTGCCGAAGATTGACGAACGTAAACGAGAATTAATCACACAATTCTAAAACGATATAAAAACTTCTGTCGCGGATGATTGACGTGACAGTCAACGAGTTAAAAAAATTTTTGTTATTTTATACCTAACTAGTTAATACTTTTTATATAGTATTTTTTTTCTTTCTTAACTTCTGACATTACTTATTAGCTGATTTGCTAATGTAATATAAATCACGAGAAACATTTTAATCTGTTTGTAATACTTTATAAGATTTGTAACTTTGTAACATGAATAATTACCTTAGGGAATAACGTGGTTGATACTGGAATAGGTTGCCTCAGGGTATATTGTGGTAAAATTTGATAAGCCGTCTTAACAGGAGTGATCAATTGTTTCTGGCTCAAATAAGGAGTGTAAAAGGGAATCGAAATTTGTTGAGCTTGAGATAATTCTTGAAGGGAAGCTTGAATTTTTCCACCATTTAAACCATTTAAATCAATGTGTGGGTAATAAGATAGCAATTGACTCATAGGAATATCAATGTAAAAATTGTCTACAATAGAAAGTTACTTCATTATATTTCTAATTTTAAATCAAAATAAAAATAAAAATACGGATCAATATACCTTTGTTCGAATTTTTGCCATACTTTTGTCCAACTACTTTTTGTTGCAAAGTTTGCACTTGATTACCAACATTGATTTCAGGTTGATAAATTGTCGATTCAGAATTATAAATAGTTGGAATATTTTGCGTTTGTTGTTGATATTCGTGATATTGTTGTAAAGGTTGATTACTTTGTTGATAAATAATTTCATTGGAATATTTATTATGTTGCCTGTATTCCTCCGGCGGTACCTAAAAATAATTAATATACCTCGTTATAATAATAAACGATAAAATAATAATAATAATAATAATAATAATAATAATAATAATAATTAATTAATTAATTAATCTTACATTTGGAATTGGTTGGGGTGTAACATAAGTCGTAGTTTGATAATGTTGTTGATTTATTTCAGGTTTATAGGAATACTTAT